CATCTTTACTGCAAAACTGAGTTCCCTGTCAGACAGACAAGTAAATATCAACCTTCTGAGGACTTCTGCCCTCAGAAGAACAGTGCTTGCTGTGTTTCTCACCTGTTCCTAAAGGTAAGATGGCAACTGAGGGCTCTGAGCACACCAGCTTGTGCCTGATCTCCTCCAGCGCACCAAGGACCCAGCCAACAGTGCCATCGCCCCCGCACACCAGCACTCGGAAGGAGGGAACTTTGGAGAACATGTGAAACCTCCATTATGAAACAAATCACAGGGGAAAAGACATGTTACAACATAATACAGGAAATACGAAGTTCCGTAATGTGCTGTTAACGATAACGCAATGTTACTGGGTTTCTGCCTCATGTCCCTCTTTACCATCAATTTCAGGATCAACTTCAACAAAGTGAATGGAAAAATAGGAAGTTTTAGATAAAGCTGTTTAAGAAGAGTGAAAACCACATTCCTCTCAGATTTTTCACAGTTAACTGGTTAATCACTTCCTTTTTTAAAGGCACAGAGATCTAACTATTTCTAATTTCAACGTGAACATCTGTAACTCTGTAAATTCTAGTGGACATGTTGATTTCTGGTGTTTTCTTTTTAGTCATAGGAATCACAGTATAATTTCTTCTTCACAATGCTATTTCCCTGGTCACTCTTACCTTTTGTGGCTTTTCATCCTACATACCACAGTATCATGCAAAGGAACTTTTATTTCCCATTGCACAAGAAACGATGAATAAGCGGGAGCATTTTGCCATGAAGCTACAGGAAGGTTCCAAGGCCAAAATAAAATGAACTCATTACTTAAGTTGCAGCTTGCACTGCATTAGAAAGACAATAGGACTACACAGATCTGACAAAACCCTTAGTTTTTGTAGCTTGTTTCACTTGCCTCCCACATAAGATGCATTTCTTCCAACAAAGCTTTTACTCTGAAGATCTTGTCATGACAGTTTTTATTAAAGCAGTGCTGAAGGAATGAGGCTACTCTGAGGAGGCTACAGCCATCACTTTCAGTTTTATGAAGCTGGTAACAAAATGGGGTTGATTAAATCAAGTCATTGGTTCCTGCCTTTCTACAAGCACATTATGTTCTGTTCTTTGTACTTAGAAACTGCAGCTGTGATCAGGCAGGCCCTGTTAATTCTGCAATTGTGGCCAAGTTTCAGGACTCAAGATAGAAAATTTCATTACACTTTCCTGGGAGTTCCCATGAAACATCAGAAAGAATAGAGGCCAAAATCAGCCCTCATCAGGAAATGGGACATTTCTCTTTCCATCTCCATACAAATATAAAATCTTTTTATTTTCAGTAATTATTAAATATGTGCTATTCTAAAGTGCATACAACTTTCCCAGTACTGGACTCCATTAGAATTGACAGAAATACATACATCAGGAACTACTCTATTATCTTTTCTTTAGAGAACCTCAGAGTTTAAATCTGTTCTCACAGTAAGAACCAGTCAGAAGGGAGTGATCCACTGCTCTAGTCTTCAGGCACAGAACAGAAGTAACTTAGATCTTACCCAGGCAGTGGGCCACCATTGGTAAGTTCAAAGACCTGATGTGGGTTTAGCAGCTTTCTAAAACTGTACAGCAGATCCCGACCTTTGAGACCACCACTTTTAGGATTCACAAATACAAGAAGTGGGCAGAAATTCTGTGGTATCTTGGAAGCCTGAAAGAAAACAAGAAGAAAGGATTAGCCAAAACCATGGCCAGGCAGGAAAACTAATACTGCATCTCAGAACTATTACCTGATGCTTCCTTGATGCTTAGTAAAAAATCCAGATTCTATAAATAAAAAGACTCAGTGTCCAGGCAATGGACAGGCTAGCTGCTGATTTGGATCCCTGGGAGCTGAAGTTTCCTTAACCCACTCCAACTAAACAGTCAGGCCTAACATTAGAAAGAAAGGCATTTTATGTAGCACTTCCTACACATTTTCAGTCAACAAAGAACAGTGTGAGGGATAAGAGTCATGTACACTTCAAACAGTTCCCCTGGAAAGAGAGGGCTTCTCCCCAAACCAAATGCAAATTTTGTCCTTAAGTTTTGTGTTCATCTTAGAATACATGTTAATTTACAATGACAAAAGAATCCAAAATGAGGATGTTTGACACAGATATTGGCACACCCCTCCCTGTGAAACAAGAGCCTGAAAACCTCTTTTGAAAATGCATAATTAAAGTTTTTAATTAAGAGGATTTAACGAGGGCTGCTGGTACCTTATGGTCCTTGCACCTCTACTGAAGCTGCTGCTGAAAGGGGTCTGAAAGCATGCCCATTCTGCAGGGGACCCATCCAGAATCTGCTGCAAAGGAAGCCACTGGACACGGCACAGGAAGGACTTCCCGGGGCACGGGAACAGTACCTGAGGGCAAAATTTCTAGCCACCAGAAGCACCCTCTTGGGATGGGTTTTCATCCAGACAGCCCAACCATAAATCATTCTGTAAACTGATTAGTAAATAGTTCTAGAAAGATCAGAAGACACTGGCACACATTCCACCCATCCTGCTACAGGGATGGGGGCAGGTCTGTGCCAGAAAAGTCTGCAGGACATTTCAACGAGTGCCTTTCAAAACAGAATCGTTTGCTGTAGTTCCTAAGTTGTGGTGGTTTGTATTTACAAATTGGACAGCATTCAGGGAGCAGCAATTTGTCACGCAGCTGACCGGATGGATTCAGGGAACAGAACAACAGTGCTAAATATAAGTCAATTTAGACAAGAATGATTCAGGGGGTGGTGAGGCAGCAGCATGACCACAGCGTGCAACCATGTGGAGAGATACCAACAGCTACAGAGGGAGGAGGCAGCACTCAGAGAGCCTGTTGGCTGCTGCCTGTGAGCAACCACCAGAGAGCATTATCTAAGGTGAACAATGGATAAATCAGGACAAAGCAATGAATTAAGTTTGTGGGGAAGCAAAATGGAGTCTGATGCTGAGATACCCCAGATCATCATCTACCTATGAGCTAATTTGGAAACTTAAAACGTATGTTTGTTTGGGGCTTCACAGTACATGAGAGATTTCCTAATTTTCCTTTCCTAAAATAGCTAGGTGCTAATCCTCTGCAAGTCACACCCTGCCAGATGTGTCAGGAAGCCCACAAACACATAAAAATCTTCCTCCTCTGTTACACTGCCTGCATGAAAAATGCTCTCTGCCATCCAGTGTGACTTGCCTGTTGACAAGGAGAAAACACACTGGCAAGGGGAACACTTGAACACTAATGAAAGCAGAGCTCTAACTTTTCCAGAAGTAAAGGCCACCTTGTTACTCCATCAGTTCCTGCACCATCGTCTGCCATGTCCCATTTAGAATGGTCCTTTGACAATCTCACAAGCAACAAAAGGCAGAACCAGTCTGAAAGGAAACATCATGTCCCGCCAGGTAACAGGGCAAACTGTTCCCTTCCTGCACTCCTTGTCCAGCTTCTACTCTGCCCCATCTTCCCTCCTGACCACTTCCCACTTCATCCTCTTCAGAGCTTTTTTAATACCTAAATTTCGTCTCCAGTCATTTCAATTTTCTGAACACTACTGGCCACCTGAAACCTCAGGCTTGGTCTATGCCTGGAAACTTGTGGGGTTTATAAAAAGGGGGTTAAGGGAATAACAGGAAAAAATACTAAGTTCTTCAGCTCAAAGTAAACAAAAAACTTTCAAAAAAGAGTGAGGGAAAAGAACCAGCACAACACTAAAGTCCAACAAATACCTTACTTGAATGTGACAAGAACATTGAATTATCTTCTCTTCTCCAGGAAATCAGTTTCTAAAAATACTGGTTGGAGATATTTATAAGTGACACACTGAACATGTGTTTTATATTACTTGCTTTAATAGGCAAATTCTAACACACTGGGTTTAAAAAGGAACTCCAGGGAACTGCAGTGATTTCTGAGATGTAGTACACTCTGAAGAATTCAAAAGCATAGCTATGTTTTGTAATGTTGTCTGAGATCTTACCTAAATAAATATAAATTTTTGCAAATATTTATTATAGTTTCTACAAAACTGCCATCTTAATTTCCTGTCAAGTGTCAAGGGGAAAAAAAAAATTACATGGATACCCTGAATGCTATTAAGACTCACAAGCAGCTGCCTGGAATGCCAGTGGACTGCCATAGTATAAACTGAGCAGTCCTACTACTCAAAACCACCTTTGTTCAAGTATCTTCTGGTGTAAATTCCTAACTATACTCATTTAGTACTAAATGCACCTATGCAGAATAAAAAGTATTCCAGAAAGTGCTCATTCTTACAGTTAATTTGCTTCCCATCATGACTCTTCATTAAGCTTAAAGGAGCAAGAAACACTGTTAAATCCCTAGATAAAGGCCAGCTTCTAAGAAAACAATGCTGCTGCTCCATTACAATTACAGATGGCCACAAGGGTAGCACCTTTATGCTGCAGAACTGGTTTTAATCCCTTAATAAAGCCCCACTGGGGACATACAAATGATTTGTTACTGGGCAGAAGAGAATATGTGACTCGCAGCCTGAGGACTCCTTTGCCCCTTTAGCCCTGGCTTTGGTGCTCTGCTTGACGAGTGAAATCTGCAGAGAGGTTTTGTGTTGGCTAGCATTCAGGAAGGAATTTACTGCTTGTTTCTTAGAGACAGCTGAAGGACGCCCTGTGATTTAGACATTGACAGTCACTATGAATTGCTTAATTTGTCAGGATTAGCACAACAGTCTGGGGCAAGATGTTTATTATCTGTGTTAATCCCCTTTCTGTTGAGTGTTCCCTGTAATCCCCTCTCACAATGAAGCAGAACAAGGTGTTCCAAGCCACAGGTCTACCAGCATGATAATCACAGTTATCTCCCAGGGTGGTGGGCTGTCTCCAGAAATTGCAGATATCTCTAAGTGACAAGTAAAATTCAACATTTGCAAGTGAGCTGCCAGAAGCATCTCCCATGTGCAAGGACTCATGATGCCCAAAGCACAAACTTCCTTCACCCTGAACAGAAAGGAGTCATCATCTCAAGAGGAATTATGTGCAAGGTGTCTCAACGCAACTGGAGCAGCAGCTGGGTCAAGCCCAAAGCCTTTCTTCGGTATCTTGCAGAAATGCTAGAGTCACAGGATCGTTCGGGTTGTAAAAGACCTTCAAGATCACAGAGTCCAGCCTTTGACTGAACACCACCTTGTCAGCTAGGCTATAGCATGAAGTGCCCCATCCAGTCATTCCTGGCTCACCTCCAGGAATGGTCTCTCCACCACCTCCCTGGGCCAGCCAGTGCTTGCCAGGCCTTCCAGTAAAGGGCGAAAAGGGTCACAAACTTTTCAGAAAGGTGAAAACTAATCTTTCATGGTGTTTTGACTAGGAGGCTCATTAAACTATTCTGCTTTTAAGTTGCAATCATTTATGCAAAGAATTAGTGAAATAAATGAAATGGAAAGTTTTGCCTATTTGGCAAACTCCCACATTCATGATAAAGCCACAAAACCATGTGGTGAGAATGGCTTTATGAAACTCTCTGCTGACTTCCTTGCTTGCCAGCACTGCAAAAGAAGTTCTGGTAAATTAGCTCTGAAATCAAAGCTTCAGCCCTGCAGTGTCTTTCACCTTGACATGATACCAAAGAGTGAAACCAAACTGTCCTTGCAGCTCTTTACACATAACAGCTAAACAGCTTTATTTTTTGCACACTCCAATGAGAATATTTTCATTTATTTGAATACTCTGAAAAAGTTTTTAAATTTTTAAAGGCCTGAAGGAGCAAAGCAGATCACCACATCTGATGACACTAATTGCTTGACTTTCTAATAAGCAGTTGGTGCAAACTGATTCTGCATTCAAACTTTTCAGTAATGGCCATAAGAGGATGAATTGTTTCTGGTAGACCTGATCATGCCAGACTAGAACTCTGCCTTCCCCTTAGAAGGTATATCAGACACAGAGTAAGCAAATCTCACCCCAGAAAAATGGACTGCCCATAAAAAAAATAACTTTGCCTTCAGAAAACTTTGACAAGCCTAGGACTCATTTTTAAATGGTAAAGGCAGGTATGTAAGTAAGCAACTATGGCTACTGAATTTGAGACCCTCCCATCAAAAGTTGTGTTGTAATTCCCACTAATTATGTAATTTTAAAGGTTTTTGATCTTCTGCAAAGTTCTGAGAAGTCAAACCAAGACTCTCGCTTCACTTGCCATAATGCAACCCCAGAAAGACAGCAATTGCAAGATACACAACAGCTCAGCAGAAAGTAACTATGGGCAACATTCTCTTTTGGACAGAATCTACATCATTCTGCTTAAAAATGTCACTTCACTCAGATAATAATTTCCCTCTTTTCACCCTGACTCTGCTTTCTTAACATGAAACTTATTATTAAACCAACTGATTCATATGAAAGTGATTTGTAACCATAAAAATTAATAAATCAGAATCAAGACTGAATATGTAAAAGGACTCTTGCACTATTTCAAAAGACTACAATCTTCTAAAATCCACAAGATCTAAACAAGGTCAAACTCCCTCTGCTACATAATGGGGGAATGAAGACACTGTAAATGCAAAGATAAGCAGTAGTACTTTCCTTCATGGTGAGTGAGGAAACACATGTAGACCCCAAATCAAAGCTGTTGTAAGCATTTTAAGACCTGTCAGCTAAAACTAAAACCCCACCTAACTTTTTGATCATTGAAAGAATTGGTCTTCTTCCCTTTATGGTTGTATAGTTAGGCAGTTATATACTGACAATTCAACAGTAACAGGGCAAGTGATTGAACTTACAGAAGTACATCATACACATGAAGAACAGGCTCTGAAGTGGTTTGTTTTTTCAATCACACTACTTATAAAATGTCACTGTATGGCCTCTTTGAATAAAACATATTTAGTTCCAGCAGAGTTTTAAGGCAGCTGTTTTTTCTTTTAAAGACATATTTTAAATTCAAACCCATTTCTTACCATAACTTCAGGAATCACCACAGCATTCAGAGGCTTGTCATTGACAACAGTATCTTTAACTAGCATATATATTCTTTCAGCTTCAGAAAAACATGAAATTTGTAGTACCACAGCACCTGTAAAGAAGCATTGGAACTATTTTTTATATTTTCTATTATTGTTAGGAAATAGGTCTCACATCACAGCAAAAGTTTACCCAATTTACTCAGAACATTATTCAGCAACAGCTACTCTGCAGTTGTTTGTTATCAGTGAACTGGGCTGTCCTGTTTTTAAGCCTCCCTTCACACCCCCAAACACATCTCAGATTTTTGTTAGAGCAAAGCAGTTTGAAGACAAGAACTGCAGCACAGAACTGATGTGTATTTCCTTTGAGAGTAAGAGGTAGGGCCTATTTCCATACTTTTTATCACAGATAACTAACACACTGTTCTCATCATGAAAAAGTGACAAAGGTATCAGATTTTGTTTTGTATCTCAGTAGAAGTTCATTAGTTCTAATCATTAGGAATATCTCAGTAAGAATAACTGCACGCAAAGATTTGGTTTAAGAATCAATTTTCTATCTTTATGTTAGCTTAGGTCTTGTATGGGGAAGTTGGGGAAAAAAGAAGACAAAAGAAAAAAAATACTGACTTATTTTAAAGTAAGGTACTTAATGAGGAGGAAAACAGGGCAGGATAAGATTAAAGTGAAATTGGACATATGAGATATAAGCTGGTAATACAACATGGCTGCAATGAAAAAGGATAGTCAGGAAATTATGCAAAACACAAAAATACAAACATAAAAAGAAAGCTACAATAAAAATCACACACAAGCAGAAACATCTAAAAAACACATGCATATAGATTTGGTTAAATGAAGCTATGCCATGAGAAGAGTATCTCAAACCCCACTGTTCTCCACTGACAAATATGAAAAGGAGAAGGCATATCTGAAAGCTTTATGATTTTCCTTATGCAAAGTCAGTATCAATTAGCCAGATGGAAGTGCCAAACACACAAAGGAAACACACACCAGTCTTCAAAACCATGCTATAGAAGGATCCATTTAACACATGTGAAAGTTAAGCCTGCCAAAGGATGTGAAACATCTTGAATATGAACAACTAAATATATAAGAGAGAAAATTCCACACTTTTGAGTTTTACCAAAGCAGATCTCCACCTGACCACTGCACTAAAGCTGCCCAGAGCCTCTGCTGCTCCAGCTCTCAGAATCCTCACAGCATCTCTGACCTTGCTGAAATAACATTCACACAGCAAAAGCAAAGAACAGCTCAAATGATGAACACAGAGAGCAATGTATTTATTTTCTTCAGCTGCCAGCCATTGAACCCCCACTTAACACTGTGCTAGCAGTGACTGTGAAACAACCCCATCGAGTCCAAAAGCAGTACTGAATTTTAGTATTAGCAGAAGTCAAAATAAGGAGGAGAACACTTGCAGGGTCTCTAACAGTTCTGTGGGATTAGATTACCCAGCTGAAGTGCAACTTCAAAACTCATTTTAATGATGAAATATTACCACCCTCTGATACAGGAGGCATGAAGCCAACCTTTTAGCTTTTATTAACAAGGTAACACTAATCCAGTGCTCTTCAGAAATACAATGTGTCACATTTTACCTGAAGGGCTTTTTGCTTAAGCAGTAAGATTCACATACTCTGAGATTTGAGCCTCTAGCATTAGG